CACCCGCCCTGAGGCTAGCGGGACCGGCAGAAGACGGGGCGGAGCCGGAGAAGGGGACTTGAGCGCGAGGAGGGGCGGGACCACGAGAAGGGGGCGGGGCTGGGGAGTGGGGGTGCGGGTGTTTGTGTTGGAAAATCCAACTGCGCCACTGGGCGGAGCGGCCCCCCCAGCCCCGGCCTGGGAGAAGGGGGGGCCGCTCGACCCCCTGGGATACCTTGGGGAGCCTGAACACCTGGGACCCCCCCCCAGAACCAGGTAACGGGGAGCCGCGAGGACGTCTGGAAAGAGGGAAACCTTCCCCGTGCAGCGGGGCAGGACGCCTGAGTCTCTGGAGGGGTAGAGCTGGGGATGGACGTTGGGGTCTTGGGAAGGGCACTGGGAAGAAGACTGGGGCGAAGGTTATGGGTCCCCTAGAAGAGAGTACGGCGGGGAAGGAGGAAGAACTGGGAGGCAGATGTCGCAGGTTCCAGATGTCCAGAGGGGCCTGAAAGGACTCCCCGTTCCCCTTGGGCTGGGATTCCCCTTCCCGACTCCAGGGCGGGGCGGGGCGCGGCGGTCCTCACTGAAGGGCAGGACTAAAGGGCAGAGTTTGCAGACAGGCCAATGCCATGGCCCAGTAAGGTCAGATGGGTCAGACTTGGGTGTGTCCCGGTCCCAGGGCTACTTAAAGTCTCCCTCCAGTTCTCTGCGCGGGTAGGTGTAGAAGCCGCAGCCTGACCTTCCCACCAGCGGCCCCGAGAGCCTCCCAGCGGCAGCCTTCGCCTCTATCCCATTCCCCCCACTGCGCCTCCCCTTCACTCTGTCTCCCCCCGCTAGCCTCCTCATCCCTAGTTCTGCTCCCACTCTGCCGTTCCCGAGCCCTCGCGCGCCCCGCACGGCTTCTCAGTGCGGAACCTTCCCAACGTAGCCACAAGATGGCGAGGGCGAGACGCGCACCCAGGGCAGCTGGGAGTGCGGGTGGGGGATGTGACCGTGAAAGTAGTGAAGCCCCCCGCCCCGGTCCGAGGGAAAGGTGGGCTGAGGCCCCCACTTGACTTCCTGTCATCTGGGCCCCCTCACAGGAAATTGTGGGCAGGAGGTCGCAGCGCAGAAGATGGGGAGGAGGCTGGGGACTCTCTCAATCTCCACCTCTCCGGGCAGGGGTAAATAGTGGGGAGGGGAGCATGCGGGGCGGTTGCTAAGCGACGTAGATTCGTTTCCTGTTTGCTGCAGCTTATGTTATGACACTGAGGGGGGAGGTTAGAGACAGCGGAGGGCCAGAAGACTGTAGGGAAGATCGAGGGCAGGACGCCTGGTTCCCTGGACAGGAAGAGCCCTGGGAGGAAAGCGGGGAGGCAGCGAGCTGCGCCGCGACCGAAGGGGACTCGGCGATTGTCCGGAGGTGGGAGGGACCGAGGCGCAGCGTTCACCTCGGCTCCCCTTCCCTCACCGGGGTTGCTTGCCTTGTTGCCAGAGTAACTGGTGGGCGAGAATTGGGAGCCGGATTCCCGAGCTCTCCCGTCCGCCCAATCCGCTCCAGAGGTCGGCCCTGACGTCAGGGCCCTGGCAGCCAATGCGGAAGGGGCATGATAGCTACAGGAAAGGGAGAGGGGAGGGGCAGCGGCGGAGGCTGGGAGGCAGCAGCTGCCCGGGACCCGCACGTGCACTCCCACACGCTCGCGCCCACCCCCCGCCCTGCACCGCACGCGCCCGAGCACCCCCTTGCGCCTGCGCGGCGAGCCGGGCGCCCCCCTCCCCTGTGTGGCGTCGGTGTAAAGCCGCCGAGGCTGCGCTCCTCAGCCCTTGGGGACCCACATGTCTCGGTCGGTCTGCACCGTTTCACGGGTCGCGACCATAATGCCCAACCTGGCTCGGGAGGGTCGACTACCTGTTCCCCACCTCCCCCCAGCTGGCGCCCCACACTCCCAGGTGGGCTGGGCGGAGCTGTGGTTTCCGGCCCCATCTGCTCGGCCGCTGCCTTCCCGGGCTCTGGCTTAGGTTGCTTTCCCAAGAGAAAGCGAGCGGGTACCAGCGCCCCTTTCCAAGGCTTCTCCCGCCTGGGGCCAGCTGCTGTTGGTGGCGGGGGAGGGCACTGCGGGGAAGCCCCGGACGGCCCAGGTGATTCTTCTGGGCCATCACGCCCCTTCTTCGCGTGAATTCCTGCTCTTTGATGTGCACCAAAACCCTTCCCATTCCTAACGTTTCCTCCTCATTCGCCCCGGCGTTCTTTGCACCTCCCTCGGCTCCTTTCGGGCTGTCTGTCCCTGTCTCCACTCGTCCTTCTCCGCTTCTCCGGGTTATATAACTCTTCCTCTCGCCGTGTCCTGGTTTCAACTCCACAGACTCCGCCCTGGAACAGCGCGGGGAGGGGCGGGAGAGTTGGGGACCCAGACAGATTCCGGCTGGCGGCCGGCTGGGGCACGGGGGATCCTGCAGATGGAAGACGGAGCCCCGCGGGACCCGGTGCCCCCGTCCCCGCCTGCCGGCCCCCACCGAGATCTCGCCCAGGAGAGAGAAGGCACAGTATCTCCGAGGGGCGTGTCGGGCCGACTCCCGTCAGAAATGTGGGTTGGGAGGTCAGGGCTGCAGGCGGAGAGGAGGAGACAGGCAAGAGGCCTGAGTCCCTGGGATTGGAGTCGTATTAGGGGTAAAAGAGATAAGGACGCCTGGGTTTCTTCTTATGTCTCCTTTTTGGGTTCCCAGAATTCCTAAGGGTGTTTCCAGGAAGCTTAGCGAGCACACCCACTCCGCCCCGTAGGGGTCAAAGGTCTGTGTTAGAGGTGGCCTGGGATGATGTCACCAGTGCACGTGCCCCGGGATGGTTGCCAGGCAATGAGGCTTCCTCCCCCTTCTATTCCCTCCCACCTCTGCCCCGAGTCCAGTTCCAGTCCCGTGCCATCTCTTTCCCCTCTCCCTTCCCTTGGTCTTAGCATCCTGCAGGTGGGAAACCCCGGCCTGGAGTTTTGTGAGGGGGAGGGGCACGGGTGTGGTGTGGCTGAAAGACTTTGCCCCTTGGCTGGGCTGAGGGAGCCTTGGGTCACTTTTCCCTAGATTGGCATCGAAGAGCTTCCCCTCTAAGGCTCCGCCCCCATAGAAAAAGCTACCTAGCCGTCTTTTTACTTTACCACCTGCTGCAGGGCCAAGTGTCCTATTGCCCCCTTCCCCAGATTGATTTGAAGTGGGAGTGGTTGAAAGACGGAAGAGTTGTATGTAGTGTGGGGTACACACCAGCTTATCCCTGACGTCCCCTTAATGGCACACCCCCATCAGCAAACAATGAAAGGAAAAGGGTCAAGAAACAGTATTAGGCTGAAAAGTCACGGTCTTTATTGTGTGTATGTAGGTGAATCGGTTTGTAGCCTCTCGGTGGAAGGGAACTCAGTTGATCGCTATGGTTGTTCTTCTCTATTAAGTGCTAGGGTTGGTGATGGTATTGGAGTAACTCGGTTTGTGCTTTTATGTACCTTAGAGCTTGGACTGTCAGACCTGGATTCTAATTACAGCTCTGTCACTTAGTGCCTACTAGGACTTGGAAAGGTCGGAACCTCTCTGAGCCTCGTATGTTAATCTTGAAAATTTAAATATCAACACCTACCTTGAAGGCCGCTGGGAGGAAAAAAATGAGATAATCTTTGCAAATCACTTAGCACAGTGCCTGGCACAGAATGAACACAGAATGAGTGCTTGTTGTTATGAAATACTTTTATTATTAAATGGTGTTAGTTATTAGTTTATTATTATTGCTGTGGGTCTGCTCCAAACCAGCAGGAACCCTAGGAGTTTGTTAAGGGGGAGTGGATAGTTTGTGTTAATTTGGAGATTGGAGTTAGGGGGCTGGGGATTAGCTTCAACTGCTTTGTGCATTTTATTTGATGAAGGCTTTAGGCAGATTTGTATCGCTTTATTTAGGATTATATTTTCCCCTCTTGGAGAAGAAATAGCTAAGACTATTCCGTGGGCCTTGAAAATAAAATAATTGTATTGTGGTTCTTGATTTTGAAGCAAGACCCCAGTCCCCTCCCATGTTGATCTCTGGAGCCTTTCATTTTGCAAAGGGACTCCACAGTTTCTCTAGTGGGGACAGGGCTAGGCTGAGGGGTGTGTAAAAGGTTGGGGTGGGTGGGTGGAGAGAGACTAGTGCTGGGGGCTGCGGGGGGGGGGGCGGGTAGTTAAAGGAAGAGACCGGAAGGGAGGAGGAGGGAGCCTGCTGGTGGGGAGGGAGGGAGGGGAGGAGGAGGTGGAGGAGGAGGAGGAGGAGGAGGGAGGGGGTTGGGGAGAGCCTGCTACAGTTCTTTGTTTGACTCCGGGACTCAGGGACGGGGAGGAGGAGGGAGGGAGGCAGAGGCTGCAAGCGCCGGGGCAGGCCCAGGAGGCAGAGGAGGGACCGTCTCCCCCGCCCCCCCAGCCCCCACTCCCCCCCCTGCTGCTTCCCCCCCTCCCTACCCGGACTCCGGGGGCACCGCCGGGGGACAGACACCCAGCAGGTAACCCCGGCCTGGCTCGCCCTCCCCTCTCTGATTTTCCTCCACACCTTCCCGGATGACCCCTTTTCCCCTTTCCGTCTCCCCGTTTCCCCCCGGCCTTGCCTCTTTTCCCTGGCCTTCCTTGTTCCATCGCCCCCACTTGGGCTTGTCGCCCGCTGGCCGCGCCGGCGTCTCGTGCAGCCTGATTCCCTTCTCGCCCGACAGCCTGTGCGTCCTAGGTCTGCCCAGGGCACCTTTTGGGGCCCTGTCTGGCTGCTGCTTTGGGCTCTTGCTTCCCTTCTGACCTGTCCCCTGGGGCTCTCGGGGAGGAGGGAGTCCCTGCCTTCTCTTGCTCCCCCCCAGTTCCCCGCCTCCCCAACTCTGGCCCCCTTTCTCCTTCTAGCAGTCTCTAGGGGTGGGGAGAGAACCGGAATTTAGGGGGCCCCCTGGAGGGGCAAGGGGCTGTGTGTCGCTGGGGAAAGGGGTTGTGAGTGTGTGTAGGGTGGGGGTGGGGGGGCAGTTAGAGACCTGGCTGCCTCTCAGTTGTCCCTTTAAATGGCCCTCACATTTCTGGGGACTCGTGGGGGGGAGGTGGCAAGCCGCCTGCCTGGGGGGCAGGGCCCTTGGTTCGTCCACACAATCAGGGGTGGTAATGATTTAAAGGGACAGCCTCGGTGTGGCCACTGCCACCGTGCGCCGGCGGGAGGGGGAGCCGGCAGGCCATGTCTGGGGAGGCTTGGCTGGTGAGCAGGGCATTTGAGGCTGAGTCTGTTGCTGGGCCTGCCAGGTCTGGGACAGTGCTGCGGCTGGGAAGGTGCAATGAGGGGTGACAGCCTGCCTGGGGGGTACACAGCCTGGGCTTTTTCCCAGGGCCTCACCTTTGGCTCTACCGACTCCTTGGCCAAGAATCCTTGAGTCCAAACTATGGAGTCTGTCGGCCACCAGGTAGGGGCCACCGGCTGGTCTGCAGGGTAGGGGTCTGGCCTGGGCACTTTGGAGCTGGCACTTCAGCTTCTCCTTTTGTTGTTTGGCTCTGTGCACAAGAAAGCCCCAGCCCCTCCCCCAGCCCAGCTCCCCCTTCCCGTCCACATGCCCCCCTCACACATACACACACACACACACACACACAAACACACACACCCCAGCTGTTGGACAGATGAATTACAGCCTCCGGCTTGGGGCCAGGGCTGGTGAGGGATTAAAGCTCTGGGGCTGGCCCTTTAAATGGCTGTTAGCCCCTCCCCCACTTTGTTGTCCAGACACCCCTCACACACCCCTCTGACCCCCTAAGCTGCCCCCTCATTCCTCCTCTTGGTCTGTCCTAAAGTCTGCCCACTCTGCTCTCTAGCCCTTCCAGAGTCCCTCCCCCGGCACAGCCGCAGAACACAGATGCCACACATTACATATACACACTCCCTGCTCCCAGGTTGTGAGCCTCCCTGTCCTGGAGAGTTCTAGCCTCAAGCTCCCTTCCCCAGCAGTAGGGCCTTGCCTGCCTGACCTCTCCCACCTACAGCTGACCACTACCCTGGCCCAGTGAGGGGGCCTTGGTGGGTCAGAACTAGCACCTCCCTGGGGGCAATGTCATCAGCAGCCACAGAAGCTTGCGGAACATTGCATCATGGAGACTGGGGGCTAGAGGCCTGAGTCTCTGGGGCAAGGGGAAGGATGGGGGCTGGAAGGCTAGGGAATATAGAGATTAGACTGGGACCCCAAGTGTTTGGGTCCATAAGGGCAGAGAACTATGATTAAGGGAGCAGAAAACATAGGTCCCTGAGGAGCAAGTCTGAGGGGAGGGCCGACTTAGCTCTGACCCCTGATGGACACCTGATTCTTGGCCTTGGACCTACGCTAAAAGACCTAGCTTCTTGTCTATGAGGGTTGGGAAGGGAATGGGCCTCTATCACCTTCTTAGGCCACATAAGAGGAAGGAGGTGATGGGGAAACAGGATATTGCCTTGGGGTTGGCAGGGAGGGGAGGCTTGCAGCAGAGGCTACTTCCAGGCTCAGGCCCAGACTCAGAGTTCTTGCAGGGGAGGATGGCCCCTCCCTGTTAGGCCCGTTCATCTAGTCTGGCTACCTGTGCTGCTAGCCAAGACCTGCCTGCACCCGCCTGGGGGAAGACGAGGGGGCAGAGTCCAGAGGGTGGGGTTGACTGTCTGGTGTCTTCATAAGGTTGGAGAGGACACAGAGCTGAAGGAAGAGGGTCTGCATGCCCTAGTGCTGGGACTCAGGCTGGCTTGGGTGCAGATGTCAGGGCAGCTGGGGCCACTCTGGGGCTAGGGAGCCTCAGCAGGAAGGTCTTGTCAGAAGAGGGATCACGGGTTGGGGGTCTACTGTAGACTTACTCAGATGCCATATCATGGCCCCTTCCCAACTGATCCAGCCTGCTTCCCAAAGGGGAAGGCTGGATGACCACTTTGGGGATGGCTTTTTCTGGTTGCCATGGAAACAGATTCTCCCATCGTATCTGACCACCAGAGCCAGGTTTCTCCTTAATGAGGGGGGCAGGGAGCCCAGGGAAATTCTCCAGCCTGGGAGACCCCCCACCTCTAACTGACTTTTTTCTTTTAGGTTCCCCCCAGGGCAACATGCCAGCCCCGTAGCACTGCCCACCCCACCCACTGTGGTCTGTTGTGCCCCACTGCTGGGGTGCTGGTTCCAATGAGACAGGGCACAGCAAACTCCATCTGGTAAGTCCTGTCTGAGTGGCCGTCTCTCCCCAGCAGTCTTAACTCTGCACCGCATGGTTGGAGATGCTTCATATGATCTGGGTCATGCCCACTCTTCAGAATGGTCCTGTCCAATTCTAAGCACCCCACCATGTGGTGCTTGAGTGGTTCAGCCCTCCTGGTTTATGGACCTCCCTTCTATCTCCTATAAATGGTTCAGCCCTGTACTTCACCAGCCTCTCCACTACTACCAAAAAATCTTTCCCCCACTATCTCCCTAGTGCTACAACTCAGTTGCTTATTGAATGAAGATGGAGTTTGCAAGCTGAAAAGTGGATATGAGCTACCCTGGAGGAATTTTTTCTTGGTAGGGAAAGGGCTTTATCTTCATAGGAGTTGTTGAACACCCTGGTTTTGGAGAGTGTTCAGAATTTATTTGGGGAGATACGGGAGATCACTGCCAGCCACAGCAGTCTTGGCATTTCACCTTTCCTTCCAGATCTCTTTCAGTCCCATTCTCTCCCCACTGCACTACAGCATTTGCCCCCATACCTAAGTCTTACTCTTCTGCTTCCCTCTCTCCTGTCAGTTCTCTGCCTGAGGCCCTGCTTTATTTCTCATTCCTTTGTAGGAGAAAAGGGAAGATAATCCCTAAGCCAGGGGCTTACGTTCTCTGTGTGGTGTTCTTCCTCATTACATATGGGATTTCTTGAGTGGGACTGTTTTCTTCTATGTGTCTCTCACTATTTTGCATGATGTTTTGCACACTGGGGTGCATGGTGGATTTGTGTTGAATAATGTTAACTGAATGAGCTTCATTACCAAGAACCTATGACTTCTGAGATTTGCTGCACAGCCTCCTACCTTCTCTAGAGGACGTGAGACATTGGGGATGGTAACATGGGTAAAGCTGAGAGGAAGGTTGGCCCCAGGAGATGGCCCGTGAGGATAAAACTGAGGGAGAGTAGGACAGAGGCAGTATATAAGCATGGTAAGAATGTGGTTCTGGAAAGAAGCCTAGCTCTTTCATTCTTCACCTGCAGAATGACTTTGGCCAAGTCACCTAGCCTCTCTGGGTCTCAATTTCCTCATCTGTAAAATGGGGGTAATCAGAGTACCCTCTATGTCAGGTTTTGGGGAGGAGTAAAAGAAATGCTTGTAAAATAATACAGTGCCTGGTATGTAACAAATGTTCACGAAATGCTAGCAATTGCCACTACCACAGTGGGAGCCACAGGGAGCTGTGAGGATAAGCAGGGATGTCGAGGGATGGGGCAGAACTTGACTGAAGGCAGACAGACCTCCAAATTCTTGACTCAGAGTGATCACTGATCCAGCGAGACGTCAGAATCCAGAGGAGTGTAGCAAGGAGTCAGCAGGGTGGGCCTGTGCCAGTGTCGCCCCGACTCTGTTCAGTAACATGAAGGCAAACACAGAAGGGCATGTGCGGAGACACACGTGATCACGCTAGTGATGCAGAGGCAGACCCAGACAAAAGACCGAGACAGGAGCTAGGCAGACACACAGACAGAGACAGCCCCGCGGAGTCATGTAGACAGGGATAATGACAGGAACGCGTCAGACACAGGCACAGAGGGAGACAAGATGAGCAGATATGCAGGTGCACACGGAGACAGACACCGGGACCCACGCACAGCCGACCGTGTCAGACAGACTGGTGAACACAGCGCCCAGTCAGAGGCAGACACAAGGCCTGCAGTGACACATAGCGGGCCGGGGCCGGCACCGTCACTCCTCGGTGGGGGGCGGGGAGGGGCCGGCAGCCAGGGGAAGGCTGGGGAAGGGAATCCCGGGCGGGCGGCCTGCCCGGGTGGCTGAGTCACAGCGGAGCCTCAGCCGGCGGCCCTCCCCTCCGCCTCCCCCTCCCCCAGGTAAGAAGCGAGCCTGTAACCCCTCGCTTCCACCAGGCGTGCTGAGAACGGGCAGGGAGCGGGTTGCGACCAATGTCCTGGACCGCCCCACCTCGGCGCGCGCGCAGCATGCCCGCTGATTGTCGGCTCGGTAAAACACTATTTGTGGGCTCTTGTCTCTGGCCGTCACGTGAGTTTGCGTGCGCACTTCAGGCCTCTTACCACGCGTCCCGCGCGGCTGCGGCGCTGCGCGGAGGGGCTCCTCGGCTCAAGCCCAGAGAGAGTTAAGTGGGTGTGATTGATGGAGTATTTCTCTCTTGGGGCTCCAGCGGGGGCGGGGATGGAGGGGGTCGGTCAAAGTCCCGAGTCCAGGGCCCGGATGGAGGGGGCGGAGCTGGGCTTTGCTGGGAGTGCCCGGATGGAGGGGGTGTGGCCTCGGCGGGAGCGGAATTAACCCTTTCAGAGCCGCTGGCTCTCAAGGTTGTGGGTCGGGTCGGGAGAGGCTGGAATGTCTGCCTCAGAAGTATATCAGCCTCCCAGCCTGGCTCTGGCCGCGTGCGTCTACCTCTCGCCTGTCTCCGAGGAGTCTGTGGGTGTCAGTCTTTGTGCCTGTCCGTGGTCCCCTCCCCTTGGTTAGTATGGACACCGGGAGTCAGGGAGGGTTATTCTTGACCCAGAGCGAGAGTGGAGGTGAGAGTGGAGCGCGAGCCGGCGGCGGCTGGGGAACAGGTGCAAGCGCCGCGTCGGGGCTGCCCGGCACGGGGAGGGGCCATCGTGGGGGAAGACGAGAGGGGAAATTCCGCGGGACCGGTGGTGAGCCGGTGTGTGGGCTGAGGAGTTGTGTCTGCCTCTGACTGTGTGTCTGTGTGTGTTCAGGGAGGCGGGGGCTGAGTCAGTGGGAAGAGGGGAAGGTTTTCTGGGTGACTCACGCTCCCCCACCCCAAACCTGAATCAGAGCCCGAGGGAGGGCTTTGTACGGGGGGCGAGTGATTAGTCCAGCGCCTGTGTCCCGGGTGCGGACAAGGATCCGAGGTTGCTGGCCAGAATGAGTGTGTGTTTAGTGTACAGGAAGTTTTGTTTTCAAGTGAGGGCTTTGTATTCTTGGGTGCCGGCGTGGGGCATTGTGGATAAAGGTGGAAGAGCAGGGGGCTGGAGGGACAGCACTCACTGACTTAGGGAAAGCTGAGTCAGTTCCCCGTGGGAAAGGGGAAGTGGCAGAGGGGAAGTGTCATCATCGCCGAAGGGGAAGCTGCCTTTCCTGGTAACTGGCGGCGCTCTTGGGACCACTTCCCAAGCAGGCATCTGCTCCTCTGTTGTCTGGTTCCCCGGCTCCCCCACCACGTCTGGTCCTTGGGTCTCCTCCCCGCCCCTGCCTCGGTACTCGGGTGGGGGCAGTCTGGGAGTGCCATACTTGACCACAGTTCAGCGCTGTACCTGGCTTGGTTACTGATGGAAAGGATGCTGTCTCTAGTGAGGAGAGAGTTCTGACAGTAATACCACGGGAACCGCGGAGAGGGTCCGCGGGGCCCAAGCGCCCACAAGGGCTCGGCGGGAGAGTGGCACGCAGGGACCTGTAGGGTCCAAGAGCTTCCATGCAAACAAACTACCTTACCCCTTCGGGAAGGAAGGCTCTTTTCACCAGAAACCCGTCTGCCCTTGTGGGCTGGGTGGAAATTTCCCCACAGCGCAGACTTCTCTCAACGAAGGCGAACTTTCCAGCCACCCCCAACCCTTCGTCGCGCACTCTCCCCCGGCTTCCTGCCCGGCGCTCGCTCCAGCTGGAGCACTGGCCCCGCCCCCGCCGCTTTGTACTCGACACTCGCCTCTCGATGCTCTTTGTACTCTAGGCTCTCAATGGACCGATCCCGGGAGCCGAGCCGGCTCCCTACCTGCGGGGACGCTGGGTAGGCGCGGAGGAGGCGCGGGGTCGCAGCTCTTGGGCTTAGAGGGGCAAGAAGGAAGAGCTGGGACTAAAGGGAAGGTGCCCAGGAGAGGAGAGCGCTGTGCCAGTCGGGGGTCCAGCCGGCACCAAAGCGAAGGGGTGGGGGGGGGCGTGAAGGAGGAAGTGAAACGGGTTCTGGGTTCTTTAAGGGAGTGGGCGGTGAGAGTGGGACAAGAGTGATGTCACTGCCTGTCGGGCCCCGCCCTCATCCCTCCCTCAGGACCCCCCCCCCCAGTACATTTTACACACACCGCTTCCGCTGCGCAAGTAGCCACGTCACGGGCAACCCCCGAAATCCCCCCCTCCCTTGGGGGGCGGGGGCCACGTGGGCCGTGGGGAACCGCGTGGCCCCGGCGGGGAAGGGCAGAGAGGATACGCGAGCCACGAGAGAGGGGCCACTCGGGACCGCGGTGCGCGACTTCTCGGAAGTTGGGGGACTAAAAGGGGGTCTGATTTTGGGGGTCGGTCGGTATTGAAGACCCAGAAAGCCAGGGGAAGTAGAGGACCTGGAGCAACTGGGTATGAGCCTGAGGGCTTGACCAAGGTTTGGGTCGGGGTCAGGCGTTGGGGGTGGAGCGCCCTGATAGCGGCGTGGACGGGTTTGGGTGCCGTGGAAGTCGCTGTGGCTGGCCAGCCCTAAGCAGTTATTAGGGGCGCTCGGGGTAGGGAGGTCTGTCACTGGGCGAGGTAAAGTGAGGAAGGGGAGGGACGTCTTTTTTGCGTTCTGTATCCGTCTGCTGTCCGTCGGTATTGCGGTGGCCGGGCGCGGGGCTACTCGAGCGGCCTGGCCGTGGCCACCGGCGGCTCTCGGTGCGTGAGGCTTGCGGGTAGCGCCAGCCCCCACGCCGGCCGGGGCGTGCGACTCACCGGCCTCATCCGCATGCGTCTTGTCCTGGCTGCCTTCTGGCCCTGACGGCCGGAGTGTCAGATCCTAGATGGGGACCCAAGGTGGGAGCCGCGGGGTCACATCGGGGTCACCCCGGGCTGAGCCCGTCTGACCGGCTCCGGCGCCCCTCCTCCCCGGGCCACCGCTGCCGGGCTCACCTCGCTCCCATTGGTTCCGGCCAGGCTGTTACTGAGGCGGAGACGCGGGTGATGATTGGCTTTCTGGGGAGAGAGGAAGTCCTGTGATTGGCCAGATCTCTGGAGCTTGCCGACGCGGTGTGAGGACGCTCCCACGGAGGCCGGGTAAGCGGCCGCTGCGTTGCGGGTCGGCCGGGTGACTCCGGACTGGAAGCCTAGCAGCGCAGCTACCCCGTCCCTCTGACCGGCCTTTTGGTTCCCTGCCACACACGTCCCGGCTCCCAGCCACACTCCTGGGCCTCTAGGGACTGGTTGGGCTGGGTGGGCCTCCCTTTGGGGAAAGCTAAGGCCAGGCCCTTTACACAAATGACAGATTGGTGGATGCCACAGTCCACCCATCCCAGCCCCTGGGCCTTGACTATGTGCTGGCCAGCTCGTCTCACTCCTTTTCCTCCTCTCTGTAGAATTGGCTGTGAAAGGACCCAGGAAGCCATCTGGGGGTAGCGGGCACTCTTATCAAAGCGGCTGGAGCCGGACCATCGTCCCAGAGAACTGGGGCAGGGGGCCGTGCCCAATCTCCAGGGCTCCTGGGGCCACTGCTGACCTGGTAAGGGAAAATCTGGGACTGAGCTGGCTGGATGTACACTGGCAGCTCTGGTTTTGCCTGCAGTAAGAGCATAATTTCTTATCCCCAACTCAGGCTGGATGCATCGGGCAGTGGACCCTCCAGGGGCCCGCGCTGCACGGGAAGCCTTTGCCCTTGGGGGCCTGAGCTGTGCTGGGGCCTGGAGCTCCTGCCCGCCTCATCCCCCTCCTCGTAGCGCATGGCTGCCTGGAGGCAGGTGAGAATTTGGGGCCCTCTGTCTCCAGGCACACCTCTTTCCATTTCTGTACCCCTCAATCTTCCTGGGTTCCTGTCGTTCTGTGGGTTTCTGTGCATCAGCCCCCTCGTGCCTAGGTAGGACAAGATTGCTCCTTCTGGCTGTACATAACAGACTCCTTCTCTCTCCAGATGCTCAGCCAGCATTGGGCAGCCCCCGCTTCCTGCTCCCCTACCCCCTTCACATGGCAGTAGTTCTGGGCACCCCAACAAACCATATTATGCTCCAGGGTGAGTGGATATTTGAAGGTTCTGGGGGTGGGAGGTAAAGCTGGGGCCTTGAAAGAGTCCCCTCAAGCCCAAACCCAACCCACACCCCCACCCCTTCTGCTCTGTAGGGCGCCCACTCCAAGACCCCTCCATGGGAAGCTGGAATCCCTGCATGGCTGTGTGCAGGCACTGCTCCGGGAGCCAGCCCAGCCAGGGCTTTGGGAACAGCTTGGGCAACTGTACGAGTCAGAGCATGACAGTGAGGAGGCCACACGCTGCTACCACAGCGCCCTTCGATACGGAGGAAGCTTCGCTGAGCTGGGACCCCGCATTGGCCGACTGCAGCAGGTAGGAGGAGGCAGGGCATGGGGGACAGGATTGTACAATTGTGCCTTCTGGCTCAGTGCCCCGCCTGACATGTGTTCCTGCCCTGTGTCCCCCCACCCCCAGGCCCAGCTCTGGAACTTTCATACTGGCTCCTGCCAGCACCGAGCCAAGGTTCTGCCCCCACTGGAGCAAGTGTGGAACTTGCTACACCTTGAGGTGAGGCTGGCACTGGATGGGTTAGGGAGGAAGGCCAGGCTGTGCCTGCACCCGTGCCATTTTCTCTTCTTTCTTTTTGTTCTCAGCACAAGCGGAACTATGGAGCCAAGCGGGGAGGTCCCCCGGTGAAGCGAGCTGCCGAACCCCCAGTGGTGCAGCCCGTGCCTCCTGCAGCGCTCTCAGGCCCCTCGGGGGAGGAGGGCCTCAGCCCTGGAGGCAAGCGAAGGAGAGGCTGCAACTCTGAACAGGTGTGGGTATAGGGGGGCCACCAGGCAGTAAGTAGGCAGGACTTGGGGAAGGAATGGGATTCTCACACTCTCTTCTCTCCTAGACTGGCCTTCCCCCAGGACTGCCACTGCCTCCACCACCATTACCACCACCACCACCGCCACCACCACCCCTGCCTGGTCTGGCCACCAGTCCCCCATTTCAGCTAACCAAGCCAGGGCTGTGGAGTACCCTGCATGGAGATGCCTGGGGCCCAGAGCGCAAGGGTTCAGCACCCCCAGAGCGTCAGGTGAGCCCCTGCCTGTTGCCTTTCACCTCTCACCTGCAAGTGCCATGCTCTCTATTCTTCACCCTACATCCCCGTTTATCTCCTATAGGAGCAGCGGCACTCGCTGCCTCACCCATATCCATACCCAGCTCCAGCGTACACCACGCATCCCCCTGGCCACCGGCTGGTCCCGGCTGCTCCCCCAGGCCCGGGCCCCCGCCCCCCAGGAGCAGAGAGCCATGGCTGCCTGCCTGCCACCCGTCCCCCCGGAAGTGACCTTAGAGAGAGCAGAGTTCAGAGGTCGCGGATGGACTCCAGCGTTTCACCAGCAGCAACCACCGCCTGCGTGCCTTACGCCCCTTCCCGGCCCCCTGGCCTCCCCGGCACCACCACCACCAGCAGCAGTAGCAGCAGCAGCAACACCGGTCTCCGGGGCGTGGAGCCAAACCCAGGCATTGTGAGTGACAACTGCGGGTGAAGGGGGGCATGGGTGGAGCTTGTCTTGAGGTGGCCCGAGCAATGCTCTGACCACCCGCTTCTACACTTGCAGCCCGGCGCTGACCATTACCAAACTCCCGCGCTGGAAGTCTCCCACCAGGGCCGCCTGGGGCCCTCGGCGCACAGCAGTCGGAAACCGTTCCTGGGGGCTCCCGCTGCCACTCCCCACCTATCCCTGCCACCTGGACCTTCCTCACCCCCTCCACCCCCCTGTCCCCGCCTCTTACGCCCCCCACCACCCCCTGCCTGGTTGAAGGGTCCGGCCTGCCGGGCAGCCCGAGAGGATGGAGAGATCTTAGAGGAGCTCTTCTTTGGGACTGAGGGACCCCCCCGCCCTGCCCCACCACCCCTCCCCCATCGCGAGGGCTTCTTGGGGCCTCCAGCCTCCCGCTTTTCTGTGGGCACTCAGGATTCTCACACCCCTCCCACTCCCCCAGCCCCAACCACCAGCAGTAGCAACAGCAACAATGGCAGCCACAGCAGCAGCCCTGCTGGGCCTGTGTCCTTTCCCCCACCACCCTATCTGGCCAGAAGTATAGACTCCCTTCCCCGGCCTCCCAGCCCAGCACAGAACCCCCAGGACCCACCTCTTGTACCCCTGACTCTTGCCCTGCCTCCAGCCCCTCCTTCCTCCTGCCACCAAAATACCTCAGGAAGCTTCAGGCGCCCGGAGAGCCCCCGGCCCAGGGTCTCCTTCCCAAAGACCCCCGAGGTGGGGCCGGGGCCACCCCCAGGCCCCCTGAGTAAAGCCCCCCAGCCTGTGCCGCCCAGGGTTGGGGAGCTGCCTGCCCGAGGCCCGCGACTCTTTGATTTTCCCCCTACTCCACTGGAGGACCAGTTTGAGGAGCCAGCCGAATTCAAGATCCTACCTGATGGGCTGGCCAACATCATGAAGATGCTGGATGAATCCATTCGCAAGGAAGAGGAACAGCAACAACATGAAGCAGGCGTGGCCCCCCCGCCCCCGCTGAAGGAGCCCTTTGCATCTCTGCAGCCTCCTTTCCCCACCGACACAGCCCCCACCACTACTGCTCCTGCTGCCGCCGTCACCACCACCACCACCACCACCACGGCCACCCAGGAAGAGGAGAAGAAGCCACCACCAGCCCTACCACCACCACCGCCTCTAGCCAAGTTCCCTCCACCCCCTCAGGCACAGCCACCACCACCACCACCCGCCAACCCGGCCAGCCTGCTCAAATCCTTGGCCTCCGTGCTGGAGGGACAAAAGTACTGTTATCGGGGGACTGGAGCAGCTGTTTCCACCCGGCCTGGGCCCTTGCCCACCACTCAGTATTCCCCTGGCCCCCCATCAGGTGCTACCGCCCCGCCGCCCACCTCAGTGGCCCCTAGCGCCCAGGGCTCCCCACAGCCCTCTGCTTCCTCGTCATCTCAGTTCTCTACCTCAGGCGGGCCCTGGGCCCGGGAGCGCAGGGCGGGCGAAGAGCCAGTCCCGGGCCCCACGACCCCCACCCAGCCGCCCCCACCCCTGCCTCTGCCCCCTGCTCGCTCTGAGTCTGAGGTGCTAGAAGAGATCAGTCGGGCTTGCGAGACCCTTGTGGAGCGGGTGGGCCGGAGTGCCACTGACCCAGCCGACCCAGTGGACACAGCAGAGCCAGTGGACAGTGGGACTGAGCGACTGCTGCCCCCCGCACAGGCCAAGGAGGAGGGTGGCGGGGTGGTGGCAGCAGCGGTGACAGGCAGCTGTAAGCGGCGACAGAAGGAGCACCAGAAGGAGCACCGGCGGCACAGGCGGGCCTGTAAAGACAGTGTGGGTCGGCGGCCCCGTGAGGGCAGGGCAAAGGCCAAGACCAAGGCCCCCAAAGAAAAGAGCCGCCGGGTGCTGGGGAACCTGGACCTGCAGAGTGAGGAGATCCAGGGGCGCGAGAAGTCCCGGCCCGATCTTGGTGGGGCCTCCAAGGTCAAGCCACCCACAGCTCCAGCCCCTCCACCAGCTCCTGCACCTTCTGCCCAGCCCACACCCCCGTCAGCCTCCGTCCCCGGAAAGAAGGCTCGGGAGGAAGCTCCAGGGCCACCGGGCGTCAGCCGGGCTGACATGCTGAAGCTGCGCTCACTTAGTGAGGGGCCCCCCAAGGAGCTGAAGATCCGGCTCATCAAGGTAGAGAGTGGTGACAAGGAGACCTTTATCGCCTCTGAGGTTGAAGAGCGGCGGCTGCGCATGGCAGACCTCACCATCAGCCACTGTGCTGCTGATGTTGTGCGCGCCAGCAAGTGAGTTGGCTGCCCGTGTGGCCCAGGGACAGGCTCTCTTCCCCCATCACCCTGATGTTTGTGTCTTCATTCCACTGTCCTCCCACAGGAATGCCAAGGTGAAAGGGAAGTTTCGAGAGTCCTACCTTTCCCCTGCCCAGTCTGTGAAACCGAAGATCAACACTGAGGAGAAGCTGCCCCGGGAAAAACTCAACCCCCCTACTCCCAGCATCTATGTATGTGTGCCACTTGGCCTCAGAACCACCCCTGCCAGAGGGTTCTAAGACAGTGTTGGGGACTGCTGGGGTGCTCTGAGCCTGGGCCAGGGCTCTGACCCCAGCTCTCCTGGTCATGTCTCAGCTGGAGAGCAAACGGGACGCCTTCTCACCTGTCCTGCTGCAGTTCTGTACAGACCCTCGAAATCCCATCACAGTGATCCGGGGCCTGGCGGGCTCCCTGCGGCTCAGTGAGTATGGAGGGCAGAAAGTGTCAGGGAGGGCTGCACGGGTCTGGGGCATGTAGGACCCTCTGAGAAATCCCACACTTGAAGAGTCAGGACAGTGGCTTTGAGGAGTCCACTGAGTGATGGGTCAACTGGCATTGGACTCTTCTCCCATCTGTCTCCAGCATTTGGCAAGGGGGAGGGGGCCATAGTCAGGGCCTGATGAGTCATTTCTGAATTTTTTGTGATTAAGGATGAGAAGAATACAGATTTTAGAAAAACCCTGAAGACCTGTGATTTTGGGGCGCTCTCTGTCTTTTGTTGCGCAAAATTTCAAACACATACAAAATTAGAGGAAGCTGTATAGAAATACAAAGGTCAATCTTGTCTCCTTTATATCTGTATGTCCTCCCTTCCCCACTCTGAGTTATTTGAAGCACATTTCAGGCTTTCACTTGACTGAATCTTTAATTGGATCCAATGGTAGCTCAAAGAAGCTGCTGTTTTGACTAGAAAGACTCCAAATGGGGAAAAAAAGAAGCTGCCATTGAGCACCTACTATGTGTCAGGTGCGGTGCACATGGCCACGCGCACACCTGGGAACACTGGTTGAGGGGCTGAGTCCTTGAGCAGCTGCAGGAGAAAGAGGGCTGGTGAGGATGCAGATAGAGGCCAGCGCACCCAGCTTCCTGTGGGGCTAGGGTTCCTGCCTATTTCTCCTGGACTGAGCTCTACTAAGCCTATGACCACCCTGTCAGAGCCCAGAGGAGTAAGAAGGGAAAGGGTCGGTTGGGTCCTTGGTCCTTATCCTCTGCCTCTGCCCCAACACCCTTGCTTGGCCCTCCCTTCCAGACTTGGGCCTCTTCTCCACCAAGACCCTGGTGGAAGCGAGTGGCGAGCACACCGTGGAAGTTCGCACCCAGGTGCAGCAGCCCTCAGATGAGAACTGGGATCTGACAGGCACTCGGCAGATCTGGCCCTGTGAGAGCTCCCGTTCCCACACCACCATTGCCAAGTACGCACAGTACCAGGCCTCATCCTTCCAGGAGTCTCTGCAGGTGAGACGACAATGTGGCAGAGGCAGGTCCTGGGACGGGGCTGCGGTGGGAGGGCTCTCGAAAGGTGTCTGACCCAGGTCTGCCTACCCTGGCTGAGCAGGAGGAGAAGGAGAGTGAGGATGAGGAGTCAGAGGAGCCGGACAGCACCACAGGAACCCCTCCTAGGTACCGTACAGGTGTGCCCCTTCCCTTTCTGCTTCCTTCCCCTCCCTCTGGTCTCCACCAACCTGTGCTCTTCGCCCCAGCAGCAGCACACCAGACCCGAAGAACCATCACATCATCAAGTTTGGCACCAACATCGACCTGTCTGATGCCAAGCGGTCAGTGGGGCTGAGGCCAGGGAAGTTGGGCCAGGAGTGCTGCTGGGACCTCGTGGCGGGGGCGGGGTATAGCTTCTCTCTTGTCGCACTTTCACGCCGCAGGTGGAAGCCCCAGCTGCAGGAGCTGCTGAAGCTGCCCGCCTTCATGCGGGTAACATCCACGGGCAACATGCTGAGCCACGTGGGCCACACCATCCTGGGCATGAACACGGTGCAGCTGTACATGAAGGTGCCCGGCAGCCGAACGCCAGGTGCGCTCCAAGCCTGTGCGCGCCGCTGCGGGAAGCGCGAGAGGAGGGGCTGGGCGCTCAGCTGTCAGCCAATGAGGGCAGAGGGCGGGGCTGTCGGGGATCGCAGCTCCGACCTGGCCAGCCATGCTGTTCTCTGTCGACCCCTGCAGGCCACCAGGAGAATAACAACTTCTGCTCCGTCAACATCAACATTGGTCCAGGCGACTGCGAGTGGTTCGCGGTGCACGAGCACTACTGGGAGACCATCAGCGCTTTCTGTGATCGGTGCGTGCCGTCCTGCGCAAGTCAGCCTGCCGCGTCCCCGCCCTCGGTCCCCAGTTCCCACCTGACTTGTGGCCACCCCGCAGGCACGGCGTGGATTACTTGACGGGTTCCTGGTGGCCAATCCTGGATGATCTCTATGCATCCAATATCCCTGTGTACCGCTTCGTGCAGCGCCCCGGAGACCTCGTGTGGATTAATGCGGGGACTGTGCACTGGGTGCAGGCCACCGGCTGGTGCAACAACATTGCCTGGAACGTGGGGCCCCTCACCGGTGAGAGGGTGGGGCAGGTGTTGGCATGGTGTGGGGCCTCAGCCGCAAGGCCTGGGAGGCTGGGGCTTGGAGAGCCGCCAGCAGTGAGGGAAGGGTCTTGGGCCTAGGTGTCTGGGGGCTGTTTGAGAGTCCTATTGTGATCGCCTCTGGCCCGCAGCCTATCAGTACCAGCTGGCCCTGGAACGATACGAGTGGAATGAGGTGAAGAATGTCAAATCCATCGTGCCCATGATTCACGTGTCATGGAACGTGGCTCGCACGGTCAAAATCAGCGACCCTGATTTGTTCAAGATGATCAAGTGAGGACCCTATTTGGGTGGGAGCCCACCTCCACTGACCGGTCCCTGTTCTTGTTCTTCCTGACTCCACCCCATTCTTACCTCTCTCCATCCTTGTCTGCCTGTGCCCCGAGTGTTACTGTGCTGGGGAGGCTAACTAGGTCCCTGCTGTCATGACCTTTCCTTGTGGTCCAAATAGACAAAAACCAACTTATAGGAAATTTCACCTATAACAGATGCCCAGGACAGAGGATGTGACCCAGACATGAAGCGGGGAGGTCTCTAGGGGAGGGCCCTGGGGCTGTCCACCCCTCTGCCCCTGCTCCAGCCCTGCACCAGGCTTCCTCCCTGCTGGTGGTCTCAACCCAACCCCACTGCTCCCCAGGTTCTGTCTGCTGCAGTCCATGAAGCACTGCCAGGTACAGCGCGAGAGCCTGGTGCGGGCAGGGAAGAAAATCGCTTACCAGGGCCGGGTCAAGGACGAGCCAGCCTACTATTGCAACGAGTGCGATGTGAGTGGGCCGGCTCTCCTGCTCCCCTGCTCCCCCTGAGTGTCCACAGTGGCCCTCCCTCCCCCTGACTACCCTCTCCTCCCTGCCCCAGGTGGAGGTGTTTAACATCCTGTTCGTGACAAGTGAGAATGGCAGCCGCAACACGTACCTGGTACACTGCGAGGGCTGTGCCCGGCGCCGCAGCGCAGGCCTGCAGGGCGTGGTGGTGCTGGAGCAGTACCGCACGGAGGAGCTGGCTCAGGCCTACGACGCCTTCACGCTGGTGAGGGCCCGGCGGGCGCGCGGGCAGCGGAGGAGGGCACTGGGGCAGGCTGCAGGGACGGGCTTTGGGAGCCCGGCCGCGCCTTTCCCTGAGCCTCCGCCGGCTTTCTCCCCCCAGGCCCCAGCCAGCACGTCGCGATGAGGCCGGACGCCCCGCCCGCCTGCCTGCCCGCGCAGGGCGCCGCGGGGCCACCAGCACATGCCTGGGCTGGACCTAGGTCCCGCCTGTGGCCGGGAAGGGGGTCGGGCCCAGCCCTTCCACCCCATTGGCAGCTCCCCTCACTTAATTTATTAAGAAAAACATTTTTTTTTTTTTTTTTTTTAGCAAATATGAGGAAAAAAAGGAAAAAAAATGGGAGACGGGGGAGGGGGCTGGCAGCCCCTCGCCCACCAGCGCCTCCCCTCACCGACTTTGGCCTTTTTAGCAACAGACACAAGGACCAGGCTCCGGCGGCGGCGGGGGTCACATACGGGTTCCCTCACCCTGCCAGCCGCCCGCCCGCCCGGCGCAGATGCACGCGGCTCGTGTATGTACATAGACGTTACGGCAGCCGAGGTTTTTAATGAGATTCTTTCTATGGGCTTTACCCCTCCCCCGGAACCTCCTTTTTTACTTCCAATGCTAGCTGTGATCCCTGTACATGTCTCTTTATTCACTTGGTTATGATTTGTATTTTTTGTTCTTTTTTTGTTTTTGGTTTTTAATTTATAACAGTCCCACTCACCTCTATTTATTCATTTTTGGGAAAACCCGACCTCCCACACCCCCAAGCCATTCTGCCCGCCCCTCCAGGGACCGCCCGTCGCCGGGCTCTCCCCGCGCCCCAGTGTGTGTCCGGGCCCGGCCCGACCGTCTCCGCCCGTCCGCCCGCGGCTCCAGCCGGGTTCTCATGGTGCTCAAACCCGCTCCCCTCCCCTACGTCCTGCACTTTCTCGGACCAGTCCCCCCACTCCCGACCCGACCCCAACCCCACCTGAGGGTGAGCAACTCCTGTACTGTAGGGGAAGAAGTGGGAACTGAAATGGTATTTTGTAAAAAAATAAAATAAAATAAAAAAAATTTAAAGGTTTTAAAGAAAGAACTATGAGGAAAAGGAACCCCGTCCTTCCCAGCCCCGGCCAACTTTAAAAACACAGACCTTCACCCCCACCCCCTTTTCTTTTTAAGTGTGAAACAACCCAGGGCCAGGGCCTCACTGGGGCAGGGACACCCCGGGGTGAGTTTCTCTGGGGCTTTATTTTCGTTTTGTTGGTTTTTTCTCCACGCTGGGGCTGCGGAGGGGTGGGGGGTTTACAGTCCCGCACCCTCGCACTGCACTGTCTCTCTGCCCCAGGGGCAGAGGGGTCTTCCCAATCCTACCCCTATTTTCGGTGATTTTTGTGTGAGAATATTAATATTAAAAATAAAAGAAGAAAAAAAATCCTGTTTCACTAACGGCTGGTGATAGCAGGGAGAGTACCGGGAGGGCTGCAAGACCGTGATTGATGGGGAGGACTGCGCAGACCCTGGCGAGGGCGAGCCCCTCCCCGGAGGCGCCTGTGGAATGTCCAGGGCTCTGGTCCGCTCCTCGGGATGGGGGGTGCCTAATCCTAGAGCCGCATTCCAGGATAAGGGGGGTGGGGAGAGGCTGGGCCGGGGGAGGGGCAGGAAAGAGGGCTATAAGGGCAGCAGCCCAGGCGGGCGGAATCCAGGCGGGCCATGGCGGATGTCCCCGGGGCACAGCGAGCGGTTCCCGGTGGCGGCCCAGAGCCCCGGGACCCCCTGGACTGTTGGGCCTGCGCTGTGCTTGTAACAGCCCAGAATCTGCTGGTGGCTGCCTTCAATCTTCTCCTGCTGGCGCTGGTGCTGGGGACCATCTTGCTACCCGCTGTCACCATGCTGGGCTTCGGCTTCCTCTGCCATTCTCAGGTGAGCGTGCGTCCCCGGGTGTGCGTGTGAGTGTGGGTGTTGGTGTGTGGTGATGCTGGCGGTGGGGTCTATGGGCCACAACTTCAACCCGCCTGGGCTGTTTCCACCCCGTGCACAGTATGGCTCGGTCGGCTTGGGCCTGACGCCTCTTCTCCCACAGTTCCTGCGCTCCCAGGCACCCCCTTGCACCGCGCACCTGCGGGACCCCGGTTTCACGGCCCTTCTGGTCACCGGATTCCTGCTCCTCGTGCCGCTGCTCGTGCTTGCTCTGGCCAGCTACCGCCGCCTCTGCCTGCGCCTCCGCCTAGCCGATTGCCTGGTGCCCTACAGCCGAGCCCTTTATCGGCGTCGGCGCGCGCCGCATCCGCGGCAAACCCGGGCCTCACCAGGGTCCCAGGCCGTTCCTACATCAGGAAAGGTCTGGGTCTAATGACCCTCGAGTCAAGAACAACCCTGACGGCTGCCCTCCTTCTTACTCGGCCCAAGGACTTGAAGCCCGGCATCTTCCGACCTGCCCTGCCCCCACCCCTGCCTGAGCGGAGTCCTAGCATCCCCTTGGGAGCAGCAGCGTCAGTGGACCCAATGCTGAGGAAAGCCCCCACATCCCGGAAAACCCACTTTCCTTTCACTACCCACATCTCAATCCTGAACATCTGGGCTGGAACCTGCACACCTTCCCCTCAGCCCCGTCGTGAATGGGACAACAATCTCGTGCCCTCCTTTTAAGGTGCAGCTCCTCCAGTATTTCCGGGGCTGGGGGGCGGGGCTGGAGGGGAAGGAGTGTCCACGCATCAATAAAGATTTAACGAACTCAACGTGCTCTGCAAACACAGGAGTGGCACAAGTACTATCACCCCTGCCCTGTGCCGAGGAACAGGAAACATGTGCCAGGGCCACAAATGAGCAGAGAGGAGCATCCTTCAGCCCCCTGGCCTTATCGCTTTTGTCCGTTCTTCCTGGCCAGAACTCAGAGATCTGTCCCTGACCCCAGGCACCTCCCCATCAATAGAGTGGAGGGGGCCCAGCCTCGGCCGCCTGCCCCTGCTCCCCTTGGGGACCTGAGCCCGTTCTCTGACCCCAGCTTAAAGGAACTCGGTGTTGCCAGGCCGGGGTGGGAAACAATGGGCCTTCCGGAGCAGGATGACACCCCCTCCCGCCACAATTCTGGAGCAGCAGCGTGGGAGGGGAGATGCAGGGGCCCACCCTGGGGCCTGTTGGTGCATCATTCAGCCCTGTCCCCCATCTCTACCCCTGAACTTGAGAGAACCTTTGGCACCCCTGGACATCCCGGTTGGTAGAGGAGGGTTGAGGGTGCTCCCGACTTCAGATGAGTCCTTTCCTCTAGGGGTGGGGTGTCCTATCCCTGTACTGGCATCCCAGCTACACACAGACACAGGTCCATTCGGTCGTAAGTTTAATGAAGTCTGAAAGGTATGCGCCACCGTGGTCAGAGATATGGAGGCCCGGTCAGACTCTCCCTCTGCACCTCAATGGAAACGATGTGGTGTCCGGGTACCATGGCCAAGCCCAGCACACGGGGCTCCCCGGCAGAGAAGGAATCTGGAAAGAAGGATCAGAGGATCAGGGAAGCAGGCCGGCATCAGTACCGCACCTCTGAGCCACAAAAACGAGCCCCAGAAAACAAGGGCTGCAGCCAGGCCCTGAAGGGGAAATGCCTTGCGTAAGGTTCCGCCACATTTCCAGGCGGGTGTGCATTCCCCAGGCACTGACCCGACGGCTTGAGGAACTCCTGCGCCGAGCCCAGGATGACATTGCAGTCACGGTCAGTGCAGAGGAAGCAGCCCACCAGTGTCCGTCCATCTGTCATGCGAATGCGCATAGTTTTGTTGAGCAGCGCCTCTAGCTGCTGCCGGGCGCGCGCAGCCGCCGAGTCCTCGCGCTCTCCGTCCGAATCCTGCGCGGGGTGGAACAAGCGCTCAGACCGCGCAGTCCCGGCTGCCCGCCCGCGGAACCACAGCTCCCGGCAGCCCGCGGGGCGCTCACACAACGCCCAGAGGCTGCCGGGAGCTGCAGTTCCCCCACCCCCTCCATCTTGCTGCTCGACTGCCCCTCAATCCCAGAACCAGAGCCCGTGCTAACCCCGGCGCTGGAGCTGCTCTGACGCCGACTGCAACAGCCATTCTCTTCTCGTAGCAGCATGGTCGGTCCAGCTCCGGCCATTTGCCCGGAGGCCTCCTCTGGGCCTTTCAACTTCCTAAGCACCTTTCAGGTTGGGTGGTCCGAGATCTCGCGAGCGCTCCCGACCGCTTTCCTTTCGCGAGATCACCTCTCCTCCACCTCCTAGTCTCCTCGGCAACGGCAGAGATCTCGCGAGCTTCTCCTACTTCTAGCGCTGTGGCTCACTGAAGCGTACCACGCCGGATGTCTTACGATATCGCGAGACCTTTACCTCTACTTTCTTACACATCCTTTAGAAACTCTGGAATTTAGCGAGAATACACTCTCATACTGCCTCCTCCCTTGTTTTTCTGTCTCAGAGAGATAGTCTGTCATAAATATCCCATGTAGCCCAGGCCGCTAAATTAAAACGGAGCGTATTCGTTTTCTGCCCACCCCCAACTCCTGAAAGCGGCGCAACTCAATTACTTGATCCTTATATGCCCCGTGTGGGACTCATACTACATTTCCCGTGAACACGTGCGGTCCAAGCCTCACCCCCTGATATTTATCTCAGTGGACGGTGGCCGGAAAAGGACAATGGTTTCCATGTCAGCGGATAAACGCTCTCCCCTCGGCTCCCGGACGCGACGGAGGTCGTAGTAGTAGTGAGTGCGTGCTGAGGAGCAAAGGAGTAACCAAGAGAGCCAGTGACTGACAGAGCAAGAGCCATGCCGCGCCGGGGCCTGGTGGCTGGGCCAGATTTGGAGTATTTTCAGCGTCGCTATTTCACGCCGGCGGAGGTGGCCCAACATAACAGGCCCGAAGACCTCTGGGTATCTTACTTGGGACGCGTGTACGACCTAACGTCATTGGCACAGGAATACAAGGGTAAGGGTCACACGTTGGGCCGGGGCCGGAGTGTGTGTGTGTGTGTGTGTGTGTGTGTGTATGTGTGTGTGTGTGTGCGGGCGCGCGCGCGCGTCTGCCTGGTTCTTGAAGGGCTGGCATTGACCGTGGCTGCTCTTTTCAAGGGAACCTGCTGCTGAAACCTATAGTGGAAGTTGCAGGCCAGGACATCAGCCACTGGTTTGATCCAAAGACCAAAGACGTGAGTTATGCTGAAATCTGGGGTTGTGGGTAGAGGCAACGGAGAGCGGGGATGGGAAGGAAAAGCGGAGGCTAGCCAGAGCATAATGACTGCTCTGATCCCCTCGCCCCAAACCCTCCTTTAAAGATCCGCAAGCACATAGATCCGCTGACCGGCTGCCTGAGGTACTGCACCCCGCGGGGTCGCTTTGTGCACGTTCCGCCTCAGCTGCCCTGTTCGGACTGGGCCAACGATTTTGGGAAGCCCTGGTGGCAGGGGTCGTATTATGAGGTGGGGCGGCTGTCTGCCAAGACCCGGAGCATCCGCATCATTAACACACTCACGTCGCAGGAGCACACACTGGAGGTGAGAACTGGTGACAAGGAGCAGGTTAGAGGGAATGGGGAATCCCAGCAAATCTCCAGGCCGATCTGCAGGGCAACATTTTTTTCCATAACCAGTGGGAGTGTATTTTCTGCCCTTTACATTGAGGCAACTGAGGAAAGCACAGCACCTAGGTCCCCAGGGTTGGTAATTCTAGGAGTGTCTGGGTCACACGGGGACAAGAGACTCCTTTATAAGCCTGGGAACAGCAGTTTATGCATCTTAGTGATGGTGGTCCTTCAAAACTCTTACACGCTGTTTTGGACAGCAATTGAACTTTCTTTTTAATCTACTCTATTGCACGGATATAGTGAGGGGACAGTTGACCCTTTATGGCCATCTGGTAGTTAGAAGTGGCTGCCATTAAGAGCTGTAGGTCTTTTGGGCCTGTTCATTGCATGCTGGAGTTTCAGCTTTTTTTCTGGGGCCGTAGATTACCTGAAGCTGCTATCTGCCAAGGGAGGCACTTTGATCCTAGTGTGTATATGTGTATACTCCATCCAGAATTCTGGGGGTGGGGTGCTTCTGTGTTCTCCAGGTGGGGGTTCTGGAGTCCATATGGGAAATCCTACACCGCTATCTCCCCTATAATGCACATGCTGCCAGCTACACGTGGAAATATGAAGGGAAGAACCTGAACATGGATTTTACCCTGGAAGAGAATGGGATCCGGGATGAGGAGGAAGAATTTGACTATCTCAATATGGACGGTACACTTCACACACCTGCAATACTTCTGTACTTCAATGATGATCTCACAGAGTTGTAGGAAAGGAGACGTACACTCATGTACACTCAAGACATATTTCGAGTTTGGCTTTTTCTGTGCCTTGACGAAAAGTGGTGGGGCGGAGGGGTGCCTGGGCCTAGATCTCCATTCCTCTCTAGCAGCCTGTGCCCTTCTGAAGTGTAAAGGTCCTATTCCCTGCCTTCATTACAATTTGCTCTGAGAAAATCAGTGAATTAATCTTTAGGAATGATACAAGAAGATCAAGTATCTTGGTTTAGGGAGATGTAGAAGAGGATAGTCAGAGTTCAGGCAGAACTGTTTGATAGTTAAGAGAGAGTAATTCTACAGGGGTGAGGGATGGAAGGACTTTTTTGGCAATGATGGAAATGAGATGTCTGCAGGAAGATGGGAATTACAAAGACAGGAATAGGAAATGTTTATCATTGACCACACAAAGCTGGCTTATCTTACTTGTAGAATAGTATTTGGCAGCTGAAACCCAAGGGAAAGAAAGGAAGTGAGTCATTATAGGCAATTCAGGCTAGATATTATGCTGGGTACTTCATATACCCTCTCCCCCCACCCCCCACAAAGAGAAGGGGTCTTGCTCTGTCACCCAGTCTGGAGTGCAGTGGCAAAATCATGGCTCACTGCAGCCTGGAGCTCTTGGGCACAAGTGATCCTCCCACTTCTGCCTTGAGTAGTTGGGACTTTGGGTGCACGCCACAATGCCTAATTTTTTAATTTTCTATAGACACAGAGTCTCACTGTGTTGCCCAGGCTGGTTTCAAACTCCTGGGCTCAAGTGATCCTCTTGCCTCAGCCTCCCAAATAGCCTCTTCAAGACAACTACCCTATAAGGTGGATTACTATTTTACAGATAAGTCCTTTGAAACTTTGAAAAGTTTAATAGCTCAAAGGCACACTAGGTAGTACCACTAGAGCCAGAATGCAAATTCAAGTCTACCCAACTCCAAAGTCCATGTTCTCTCAATATAAAGGGACCATCTCCATGTCTAATCTCATGTTAACATTTGTAACCACTGTTCTCAGAGCAAGTATTTGGGATGTGGCTTTTTCCTAGGCTCCTTGCACAATAGGAAACTGTGGTCCTATTGTACAGTTAGCAGTTATTGTCTCTGGGAGTTTGCAGAGTTCTCCTGTGGCGAAGAGGAGGCAAGGAAGGCTAAGTGTCAGCTAAGCAATAGCTATTGGGGCTACTTCCTTGTTAATCCCATACCCCAAATTTCTTTCCTGACCTTTTTGGGGCAAAGAGGTGGGTATTTACTAACTTGAGGGAAAACTAGAGTGGGGAAAAGGCCAGCAAATTAGTGACACTTTGGTGAGGGAGAAAAAGGAGGCAGTTTGCCACTTGGAGAAGATGAGGAAGACAGGGTTGCAAGATGGTGACTCCAAAAGAGAGAACTTGACAGGGGTAATGTAAAGAGAGATGTTAAGTCAGTCAGAAAACTCTCCTGGTGACCAAAAGAGAACCACTATTGGGGGCAGCGGCTAGATTTGGTCTCCTTTAACTTAAGGAGGGGAGATTTGAGAATGACAGGCAGGTGAACTTCCTGGCAGCAGCAAGCGAAACACAAATCAGGAGGAGTTCAGTGTGCCTTCTGGCAGGGCCATCAGGGCCCAGCGCAGGAGAAGGTGACCCCTGTGAGATACTGTTGGGCTGTATAGGTGTTCTGAGGGGCTATGAGAGGCATGAACAGGAAACATTACTGTTGGCTTCAGCAGTTATCTGAATTTACTGTGAGGTGGAGGATTTAAATCTAATCCCATGGAATGCAGGAGTCCGTGAATTATCTAAATCAGTCATTTTGATCTTTAATCAACTCTGCAATTACGTGTACCTTGTTTGCTCAATTAAACCCTGAACTATTTAAGAATGAAGGCTATGCTGTTCCTCTAGTGCAAGTCTCAGGGCCTGTCCTGTGCCTACGGGATGTCTTCATTCTGCCAAAATCTGTCCCTCTTCCAGAGACTCCTACTTCAATGCCTCTTACCGGAAACACATCCTTTTCCTCACACATCCAGTCACTCATCAAGTGTAATCTGTCTCCTAAATATCTCTGGAACCTATCTTCTTTTCTCCAAGTTACCATCACCTCTTGTCTAAACTGCTATGGAAACTTCCTAACCTGTTCTCCCATTTCCACTTCTGCCTTCCATGCTGCAGTAAGAGTCAGCTATGAAAAACAAACCTAAACATCGAACTTTCCTTAGCTTCTTCAGTGGCTTCCACCTGCTTTTGGGATAACGTCCTAAATTCAAAGACCTTGTATAAATCAGGCTCATCTCGCAACACTCCTCTTTGTTCTCTACGGCCCAGACACTGGCTTTCAGTTCATTACATGTCTTGCAAGCTGCGGAGCCCTCACACACTGTCCTCTCTGCCTGCAACACGCTTCCTTTCACTTTCTGCCTAGCTGATCCTAAATGTTCCTTCCTCAGTTCTTTTCTTATTTCTTGGTGGGTCAAGACTTCTGATAAATCGGTTAGCACCATGCATTTTCCAGAGTTTTTGTTACAATTGTAAAATTATGGCTGTAATAGGCTGGCTGTACTGCTAGATTGTAAGCTCATGAGGGCAGAGATCTTGTTCACATCTCGCTCACTGCTATATTCTCATTGCTGAGCACACAGTTGCTGCTCAATAAATTTTGAATGAACTCAAATGTTAAGTGAACTCATCTGTCTATAACTAGTGGGGGGATGCTGTGTCCTAGTAGGCAAGGAAGGACGGAGGAATAGGATGTCTGGTTCCTGTGCTACAGTCTCTATCCACATGATTCCCTTTCCCTGCTTCCCCTAGACCCCCAAACCAAAAGTTATTCCATAGAGTATCTCTGGCCAGGTGCAGTGGCTCATGCCTGTAATCCCAGAACTTTGGGAGGCCGAGGTATGAGGATCACTTGAGGTCAGGAGTTCAAGACCAGCCTGGCCAACCTGGCAAAAGCCTGTTTCTACTAAAAATCCAAAAAATTAGCCAGGCGTGGTGGCGTGCACCTGTAATCCCAGCTACTTGGGAGGCTGAGGCAGGAGAATCGCTTGAACCTGGGAGACAGAGGTTGCGGTGAGCTGAGATAGCGCCATTGCACTCCAGCTTGGGCAACAAGAATGAAACTCCATCTCAAAAAAAAAAAGAGGGTCTCACTAGATTTTTTGGGGCCAATTCATCTGTCATTTCCCCATATGGCCACCAGGTGGCTGTAATTACTTACAGAGTCAGGGAGACAAGCCTGGAGGGAAAACTCTTCCAAAGTTAGGATGG